GTGCCACCTAGGATGCCAACTCATCGAGCCTCCCATTGTACCATATATAAGACACTTAAAATTTGGCTTATCAAATTATGGGCCTATATTGGAGACTTTTCCAATTCACCCAAATTAATTGCAATGGCCCACACAATTAAATATCACAATTAATTATTTAACACCTTATCAATTAATTTGAACATTCTATACAAAATTTCCAACAGTTATTGACTCTGTACGTATAATGTTTCACTTGAAAAAGATAGAGAAATTTTATTTTTTGTTTCTATTTGGTGTTAAGATTGAATCTTTGGTTGTTATATGTTAACTACGGATCTGAGTATTGTAATTCCTCTTTGTTACTTGTTAATATTAACATTTAATTGTGTAGTCTATTTTTTTTGTTGTCAATTTGTCTCTTTGTTGAATATGTAGAAATTTTTGTTTTTTGATTTATGACGGTCTATATGCTGTGTTTGTTTAACTTTAAGATTGCATTCACTGAATTGTTAAAGTAGAATGGAAGACAGAATTTGAGTGTGATAATTCTGTGTCTTTTGATGTTTAATTATTTTACTTTTTTTTCGGCTGTTATTGTATGTCATCTATTTGAAATTTATCTTTTAGCATCAGGCCATGAAGTACGAAGTGCGTTGATTAGTTTAATTTTCTTCTTGGTTTTTATTTTCTTTGTTGGGAGCTGGAATGAAGTCATGTTGGAAAAATTGGTTTTAATTAGTTGGTTTGACCAAATATTGTAGTGGATCTCGTTAATTTGACAAAAAAAGAATTTTTTGCCCGAGTGTGTTCTAAGATTACTGTAATTTATTTATTTTCTCAAAAATAATTTAGGGTGAATGAGAAATTAATGTCAAAAATTGACAATTTGAAGTTGAAATAAATTGGAAATAAAAATTGGTGAGAAATTAAAAAATGACAACCCACATAGGAAAACTAGAAGAATAGAATTCGCTTTACATTGCTCAAGTTTGGTACTTGGGTTTGGGCCCAAGTGGTATCAATAGTATTTGAAGGGGAGAGGACCTACATGTTAGTAGGTTGAGCCAAAATCCACACGCGCACGCTACCGCTGTCCGGCTCGACACGGTTACGGGTCATGAGCTTGGTGGCATCTTCTAGAAACTGGCTACCATCCAAACGATAACTTTTCGGATGTTGTGTCTTTTGGACATAGCTTTTCAACTTCTATATAAAGGTCTCCTTACTTCGGATTTTATTTATTCCAAAATCTTTCCTGATTTTTTCTCTTGCAAAATATAATCATTCTATCCTGCATTATTCCATATTGTGCATTTCAATCCCGAATATTATTTTCGTGCATTTTAGTCCTCCAATTTTAGAAGGATAAAAAACATTAGTAGGTACGTCGGGTTTTGTAATCTGGAGTGCTACATTACAAGTTGAGGTCGTTGTATCTTGGAAAACAAGTACCTGATGACCGTTAGCACCAGTGCACATCATTATCGTCTTAATGAGAAAGAGTCGAATTCTTATCTCGACCATTATCGTTTTATTCCGTTCATTTTTTACAAGACGGTATTTTGCCAAACTTTTTTATTGTACGTTAATATCATTATTTGCCAACAAGTCACACTTACGCTTAAATTTTTGTTTGTTTTATGGGAAAGTTCTATGAAGAGTGATAAGTGCATTTTTGTGCACTTATTCGGGGCCATTTTACTAAGCTTTTATGTCGTTTTATTATTATATTTTACTTAATTTAGGTTATTTTTATCTTATTTCAATTTTGGACCTGTTTCGAAGCAATTGGAAAAGAAAGAAGGATAAATAGGCTAATTGATGGAACTTTAGGGACCAGCATGCATTTGGGGAAAGTTGAAGCATTACAATTGAAGAAATTTGATGAGGAGGACCAAGATGGAAGAAAGAATGAAGAAAATGGCGGAAAAGAATAGTGGTGAAAATTTAGCATAGGCAACCTCCCATACATT